CGTTTCGCCCCCAAAATGCGGTCGCCCCACTTTGCAGTACATTCCGCGGAGCGCTTTGAGACGTCTCGGCGACGTGATACGGCGCTGTATCAAACGCAAGGGTTACTATGGTTCTCTCAAAGCAGAAACTCGTTTTCGCAATGTTAGTTGGAAACAACTACAAAATCAGATTGCGAAACTGCGCAGAATAGCCGCGGATTGTGCTCAACGTGAGGTCTCGGAAATGCGACGGAATTACCAACGCGTGGCCTCTTGTGTCCAATGTACACGCGGGTGTTTTTTGTTCAGCGAGAATTAACATTACACAGTGACGGATGGTGATTCAAGTTTCACGTTAATAATAGATTATACACTATTTATGGATAAACGTGCCCCCGAGTGACAGTTGAATGCTTGACCCCGGCTTGATTCAGGGCAGGAGGTCAGACTCGCCAATGTCTAGCTCTCAGTTTGCTGGCTGACCTGACGCAGAGGCGGTTTGGAGGGCTTTCACCGTTCTCCGCATGCTCGGGGAGCCTTTTGATCGGGGCTTAAGGCGGAGCCGGAAGCAATATCGGCTGCAGCACCTAACCCAACTCTCTTTGGGAGCCGAAAGGAAACCGTTTGTAAAATATTCAGCTGCCACATCAAAAAAGGGGAGTGTGGTGGTTGAGCCTCAGGTAACGTCAACAGCACAGCCAACCGCGTACATGATTGCGATTACCAATTCGGTGCCAATGCCCACCTGCAGTTTGAAGCAAGCGCTCCATTTACTTGCCTCCTCCAGTCACTGCCGTGGCTGGTTTGTGCGTGTGCGTGTTTGCGTGCGAGAGAGAGCGACAGAGACTTGCTCCATTTTGCCTTCCCATCATACTGATCGCTTTCAGGTCTTTTTTAATGGAGACTGTGCTGCGCTCCCATTGTCTCCAGTTACGCTGAAGCCCTGTGCTATTTTCTGTTGCTGTCTGTTGCTTTGAAATTAAGACACATTACACAAGACACGCTGGTATTAATGTGCCTTCTCGCTACTTCAAGCTGTCAGTTTGAAATAAACAATTAATGGCAAATAAATGGGATGTCATCAAGTGAAGCCTCGACAACAATCAGCAACGGTGTTCGCTGACTTATCAGCTGCCTACGATCTGCTGGTGTCGACGCAATGTAATACAGCGAATTCCTTTGCCAAAGTAAGATCCAAATCGAAACAAATCTCAAGACTTTCAGTATCCGAGCAGCTTGAAGTAAAAATAAAACGGGCTGAGTTTTTCTGTGAGCTGGTTGCACTTGGATTCATTCAGGGATCCTAATGTGGTAACCCGGGACATTGTTCGCCCACAAAACATACAGTCGATTCGCTTTACGCTCTGTTCTGTGAAGGGCTTTGAGATGTCTCAACGTATTAATATTCTCAATGTGTTAATATTATTAACAATATCAGCAGGATAGTGATAAGCTTTGCATTTTATACAGCGCCTTATCGTGTTCCTCTTGAGGTTCTAATGTCTCCTCAGCTGCTGACCAAAAAAACTCACGAAATGTGTGCCGACTGACTGTCTCCAAGAGATGAGGGGTTTTTTTTTTCTCTCTCTCTTCTAACAATCCGACTTTTGGGAAATTTCCGGTCAGCCCGGTCAAAAGCAAGCTAAGGCGATAGGGCACCACTGGCGAGGGGGAATTCAGCAACACGGTCTCTTCGCAGGAATTACCATGCTGATCGCTCTTGTCTGTCTGTTTCTCAGTACACTTGATTGCACGCCGACATCGCCACACTATTTGCAACAAATTCCATTGGGTTGTCCTTGTGTGATGGAGAAGGTGCAATCGACTGAGACCCGCAGCAGGAAAGCAGAGAAAGCTGAGGATTGGAGCAATCCCCGGGTCCTTTGGGGGAAAGACTACAGGATGGCAATAATTGATGACTGACCACTGATGAGATCTCCCTTAATGAATGAAAACACCCAAAACAAATGACTTTACAGCAGAGCATTTGTGGTGAACTTCACGCACCACAGACACACACACACTGGGAGTCTGGGATTTGTAACTGACGCTGCTTACAGCCTCGCCATCGAACCTGTCTTTCAGAAATGGATTAATATTGATGATCTAATATTTCGAGATTGAACACCAATTTTGATAGATCACTCGGGAAAATATAGCTCGGAGAGAAAAAAAAAACATGACCGATTTAACAAGGCTAACCATTCCGTTTAAGTAGCTGTTTGGGAGTGTGACAAGGTGTAAATAGATGTGTCAAGCACGCAGTCAAAAATCCGATCCATTTGAAGTTAAATGAAAATGAAATAGGAAATGCTTTTGGAAAAACGAACTATGCGGCAGACTAGTGTAGACCATAATATTGTGACATCTCCTGATATGATGATAAATATTACAGATTTTATTCCCTGGTCTCTTGTTTGTCAGTGAGCTCGAAGCTACACACGTCATTTGGCGCAGGCAACCTGTGCGGTGGCACGCAAAGCACCTTGAATTGAGAGAGAAGATTGGATCCTGTTTTAGCAATTGCAGTTTCCTTCTTCTGTGTTTTTTCTGCTTCACTGTTGTAGCCATCGTACAGCCAATGCTACAGCCAAGTGCACATGCAGACAGTATTTATGCAGACAAGTTTCTTTCGAGGAGAGTGAAAATATCTGCATTTGGATATGTGCATTTGGAAATGCACTAAACCTCACATAAGTCGTATCAAGGAATGTACAGTCAATTCACTTTGCAGTATATCCTGTGAAGCACTTTGAGACGTCTCGAAGACGTGATAAGGCGCTGCATCAAATGCAAGGATTATTATTATCATTAGTTGGGACCATACATTTAATATGACTTATGCAAAGTATGAGTCATGTCATATTTGCGGAGAATCTAAACTCTCGAACGGGACTTGGGCAGATGTACCATTTAGGCAATGATACGATTTGTACAGATCAGACTTGTGTGAGTCTTACTGTAATCTGTGGGTAGGCGGGAGAAGAGAAGTTGACAGACAGATGCGACAGGAACGCTTTTGGTTCAGGCCACACACCAGAATTGTGTAAGATTTCAGTTGCTGCTGGTGTGTGCTTTGCACCGAGCAAGAAGATGAGGACTGTAGAGATTAACACGATGATATTGTTCAGAATTGAGGTCATTGCATTGTCTTCCTTCAGTATTTATATGAAGCATTAAAAAGACACACTAGAGAGCTTCTTATCTGCACTAATTGAGACCGGGCACATTGTAGATATGGAAACAGCGTAGAAAAACAAGCTGTTGCCATCAGGAATTATACTATCACTCCAGTACCACACTCTGACAACACTTTTTTTCCTCTTGCCCTGCTTTGTATTTGTGTGTATTTCCCTCTCTGATTCTTTCTCTGTTTCTCTCACCCATTTTCTTTCCCCATTTCATTCTTCCTCCGTCTGTCTGACTCTCCCTTGTTCTTTGTCACTAACAAATCATTGATTGAGCCTTTACCCTCACCTCACCAGAAGCAGTCACACTCCAGTAAATCGCACTCATCAGTGGTTTGAGCTCGTGAACACAACTAACCATTTTTGCCGGTATTGCTATCGTCTTCCCTCTCACATTGGAGGTCAGTGTGGATAAGTGAACGTGCAGATAGCTGGTGTGTGGATTACCACCTTACTGCTACTGCACCAAGAGAAGAAATTTAGCCCTGGTGTGAATTGGAGGGCCTTTTCCTTCATGAAATCAGATGCAAATATTATCTTGCGATGTTTAAAGTTCACAGTGCGCACTGTTTTCATGGCATACAGTACATTAATGCCGTCCGGCGTGGAGGGCGCTATATAAATCCAAGTTTTTGTTGTTGTAACACTGAATTTTAGTTTAGATCCGTAGCAACTGGGGCAAGATAACTTAGTATATGAAGCAATGGGACTTATTCCAAAGTGCACCCTTATTCAATGAACCCTGAACAAATGAGCCCATGACACACGTGGGAATCGGTTTGAAAAGGAAGGAGATTGATATTGTACGCAGGGCGACCAAAAAGTCGCGATACAATTACCATGTCTGATAAGTCTTAATAGAAATGATGATTTTTTTAAGATAATAGAGTAGATATCACAACTTTTTGGTCACCCTGTACTTGAGAAGAATTGAAACAACTAACATTTGAGGGACGGATTTAGTTCCAATACTTTTGTAGGGAGTTTCACTGTGGAGCCTATAATTACACTGCGTGGATATGAGCCTTAGAAGCAAGATATATACGAGGCTGATGAACAGAGCGCACACTCCCCCTAGTGGGAACGATGGATTCATTTGTAATTAAAACCACTTTTCAAATTAAACTGGGACTCTTCCAAACCTGATTCTGAATCTGTGCATCTCTGAGGGACTGTTGTCTTTCGCCTACAAAGTACACAGTTAATTCACTTTACGGTATATTCTGTGAAGTGCTTCGAGACGTCTCAACAGTTTACTTTTTCCTGCTGGATTGCAGTTGCATTGCCCGAGTAGATCAGGGCCTGGCGACCTTGTAACTTGGATGTTGTTTTGCTGGTATTGTGACTTGCAGCCGCATCGGGCTTCAAGCTGTAAGTAGACCATGCAGATCGTTAGCTTTCAGATTCACTTCATTTTAATGCAATTTCTATCGATTCTTGACCCAGTACATTTGCTGAACTTTTATAAAATCTACGTTTACAAAGCTGACAGTTAAAATGTTAACATTGAAGGCCAGTGTACTGTACCAGGCAGTTACAGTTCCCTTAAACTGGGAAGTAAGTCTTGCGTTAATACTACTACAAATAATGATCCTCGCATTTGATACAGTGCCTTATCGCGTCTTCGAGACGTCTCAAAACGCCTCACTGAATATGCTGTGAAGTGAATTGACTGTGTGTTTCGTGGGTGAAACACGGCAGCCAATTGCGCACAGCAGCGTCCCCGCAAACAGTCGTGGATTGAGTCACCAAACTATTACTATTTATTTATTTTTTATATGATTGTTTATTTGTTTCATTAAAATATTGAATGGCTGGTGTTTTCTCTTGCAGTGCTGAGCATCCGAGGTGTTCAGGAGGAGGAGCCCCCAGACCCCCAGCTGATGAGACTGGATAACATGCTGTTGGCGGAAGGTGTTTCAGGGCCTGAGAAGGGCGGAGGCTCGGCGGCAGCTGCGGCAGCTGCAGCAGCATCAGGAGGATCTCCTAACGACAACTCCATCGAACACTCTGACTACAGAGCCAAACTCTCACAGATCCGACAGATTTACCATTCAGAACTCGAGAAATATGAACAGGTAAAAACGACGATGGGCCGCAATATTTGCTCACCTTGCCCCTCCCGCCCGACTTTCAAATCCCGCCTGAAGACCTTCCTTTTTGATCGTGCTTACAGTCACCTCTCCCTCCCTCTCCCACAGGCTCGGAGTCAGATTCCGCCACTGTCGAGCGCTCCAGGACTTTCCCCCGCATGAAGGGCTCTACATAAATAAATACAAGCTGTTGTTGTTGCACTACACCGTGTCCACAAAGTCCTGTTACCTCCATTTTTTTCCAGCGCTGACCAACAAACTGAAACATGTGGAAGAATGATGATAATTGTATTTAGAAGTTACTTCATTGTGTTCAGTGCTGGGGGGAGGGGGTGGGGGGGTGTAACAGGACTTTGTGGACACCCTGAACATTGCATGGGGATATGAAAATACAGTAGTATACAAATATCAGGTCTGTGTGGCTGTCTTTCTGTGTTTCTATTTATGTCTATATATCTCCTATCTCTGTGTGGTGTGTGTGTGTTTTCCTACCCATCTTGGCAAATCACAGAGATAATTACCAACCCGCACCCTGAATGTATTTCTGCATCGGAGCCCGGTGTAAACTGACTAAATGCCCCGTCTTTTCTTATATCCAGACCCTCAGTACTTTTTTGACTCAATGGGTCTGATGACAATCTTCTCTGTTGTGCGTGCAGGCATGCAGTGAATTCACCACACACGTCATGAACTTGCTTCGTGAACAAAGTCGGACCAGACCCATTTCACCAAAGGAGATCGAGCGCATGGTTTCTATTATCCACCGCAAATTCAGCTCCATCCAGATGCAGCTAAAACAGAGCACGTGCGAAGCCGTCATGATCCTTCGCTCTCGCTTCCTTGACGCAAGGTAGGTCCGTGCTGAAACTCCCAAGCTGCTAGTATCCGGTTGTAAAAGGAATTCTTTGGGGTCTGTTCGCAGGGATCATAGAATAGAGGTTTAGCCTCTGGAGTTTTCCACCCGTTGTGCTGATTGGAGTCCTGTAGCTCAGTGGTTAGAGCACTCGCCACGCAAGCAAGAGGATCTGGGTCTGATTCCCAGCAGGGCGAAACATTGGGCAAGTTTCCTTACTCCACACACGCACACCTCTGTTTATCTGGCAGTAAATAGAAGCCCAGTTGATAGTCGAATGGTGGATTGCTTTTCTGGGTATAATAACAATATCATTGTTATTTAAAAAAAACAATCAATAATTATTTGATCAATCAATCCACGACTGTTTGTGGGACACTGCTGTGTGCAATTGGCTGCTCACAAGCAAAACATACAGTCACTTTACAGTATATTCTGTGAAGCGCTTTGAAGACGTGATAAGGCTATATCAAATGCAAGGATTATTATTATTATTGTCTTGTATCGTAACGTTCTGCAATCCATGCTGGAGAGGGGAGCAAAGCGCTGGATTCCATCTTCCGCTATAGTCTTTAAATGGCCACATTTATATAGCGGCAGGTGGAATCCAGTGCTATAGAGGAGAGACGTCCAGTGTTCAGATGCAGCTCTCAGCCTCTGTCACGGTTGCCGTAAAGGTTCCGCTTACATATGTGACTCGCGTGATAAAGTTACTGGGTGGGCTGCAAATCATCCGAAATTTTAAATGTAAGTGTAAATTGAAGTGCTGTCCAGCTGTCAGCCAGCGCCGTTATATGGGTGGAATACTTTGAGTACAGCTCTAGTCTTAGTTCTCTTATTCTCTGTACGACAATCGGGTGCCAAAAGCACAATGTAATCAGAAGCAGAATTTGATTTTTAGTGAGATTTTCGAGCCTCGTGTATTTTGCCACTTGTGCATTGTTACTTGAGCAATGATATTGTCAGCGCGCAAGATTGCTTAGTTCCTCTGCGTAATTAGAGAATCACTTCATCCTTTTACCACAGCCGGTCAATGGGAAATAGCTATTCAAATTTATAAGTTGGCAAAAATCGTGAAACAGAACCACAGCCCTTCTTTGATCTTAAGCAACAAAGGCCGACTGTGTGCGAAGCAGTTTTTGAAGAAGTTCTAACCTGTCACACTTCTACGTACTGTGGTTTGATTTCTGGGCTTGAGCGACGACTGGGAAATCTTATTTGTGTCCTTGTGTGTCTTCAGTGTGCTGGTGGGAATGTGGGAAAAGACATAGTTTTTGATTACACGGTCCCACAAAATACACAGTCAATTCCCTTTTTACAGTATATTCTCAACCACGTGATAAGGCGCTATATCAAATGCATAGATTATTAGAGTATCTTGTACTTCAGTTTCAATTGGCGTTTCACTACCTGCATTATAGGCTTCTCATTGACTTCCAAATTCTACTGTATTTGATGCTTTCATAATTTCCTTAATATTTCTTGTCCAAAGTTTTGGTAAAACATATTAACAAAGACTTCTATTGTTGCCTTAATTTCCTGTTTACCCAATTTTCACCCTTAGTTAACGAGGAATTATGAATCACACAAAAAACTGCAAGGCAGTAGGGAAAGAGCGGGGAAGTGGGACAAAATGGATGGCTCATTCAAAGAGCCAGCACAGGCATGATCGAATGGCCTCCTTTTGTGCTCTTTCTAGATTCTTCATTAGGTAATCAGGGAATCTGGTGGGACATGAGATATTTTGCTGGACTTAGCACTACGTCTTCTCAAAATATACTTTGGATCGCACTTTCAGTCATTTTCCCCTCTCCACTCTTCAGCTCCCACCCCTCCCTCCTCCCGGCATGAAAGGTGTTATATGAATGTAAACTAATATATTAGTAATAATAATCCTTGCATTTGATTTAGAGCCTTATCACGTCGTTGGGAAGTCTCAAAGGGCTTCACGGAATATACTGTAAAGTGAATTGACTGTATATTTTGCGGGCTAAATGCACACTATAAGTAGAGGAAAACTAAGCGGATTTGGGTTTTACTGATTGTCTACTTCTAGTCAATGTTGAGCTGTTATCCATAAAGTTAATAAATACGAGACTACGTCGTAAGGTTAATGGACTACAATTGAAAACAAGCTGAGAAACCACTTCAACTCAAACTACCACAGACATATTTGGTCTTCAAAGCTGGAAATACACACAATAGATCTCAGCGCAATCATGTTTTATTACACGCTTATACTGTTTAAAGAGGGTCACCTTTGGAATTTCGGGTGACGCTTTCCTCTGGGAGTGAGATCCCAAATAAGAGGACTTTATCTAAACATTTCAGCTAGGATGGTTAGCAGTGAGATCAGAGACATTTCTTCCCACGGAGGTTGGTAAAACGTGGAACCCACTGCCCCAGAAGGCCAAAGAGGTAGATTTAATTGGGATGTTTTAAAGGGAGATACATAGATACTTGGAGATTCCAAGTTAGAGCGCTCCCTCACAAGCGAGAGGACCTGGGTTTGATTCCCGGGCAGGGTGAAACCTTAGGCAAGCTTCCTTACCCCACACGCCTCTGTTGACCTTAGCAGTAAGCAGGAAACCAGTTGTTTGTTGATTGGCGGATCGCTTTCCGGGAGTGGTAATCTCTTTTTAAAAAAATTTGGTCACTCAATCCACGATTGTTTGTGGGACAGTGGTGTGCGCAATTGGCTGCCACGTTTCACCCATAAATATAGTCAATTCACTTTGCACTATATTCTGTGAAGCGCTTTGAGACATCTCAACGACGCGATAAGGCGATATATCAAATGCAAGCATTATTATTATTCATGTTCTTAAAATTCTGAGTGTACAAAACCACATTTTTTTATTGAGACATAGACGAAGAGCAAGGGAGCCCCTTAGCACAGCACATAATGAAGATCACAACAACTGGCATTTATATAGTGCCCTTCACATAGAGTAACGTGTTGGAGCACTTCATAAAGACAGGGTCGGACACTGAACAAGGAAGGATGGAGAATAGGGAGGTGACTAGGTGCCATCGAAGAGGTAGGTTTTTAGACGGGATTTAAAGGCAGATAGAGAATGGCTGAGCGAGATGGAAAGAGGAAAGGAGTACCAGAGGTTAAGTTGCTGAAGGGCCGGCCACTGATGGGGGTTCAGAGAGGCAGCCCTGTGTAGCAGACTGGCGCCACACCAGGACCTGAGGGAGCTGTTAATCTAGGCTGACACTGCAATGGGACACAGACTCGAGCTCAGAGGGAGAATGTGAACAGACAGTTGCAATGTCATTATTTTACACAGTGAGTACTGAATATGTGGAATGATAACCAGAGAGTCAGTGAAGGCAGATTGTGAGCTCCTGGTCTAAGCTGCCACACCAGTACAGCGCTGGTCCCATTTGTCCGTTCAGATGGGATTTAAAGATCCTTTTGACTATTGGAAAAGAGAAGAGATTCTCTCTCCTGGTGTCCTGACCAACAATCCCCCAGGTAGCATTAGTTATTCACTTCATGGCTGTTTGTGCGACCTTGCTGTGCACAAATTGGCTGGCTGTTATGTTTGCCTACAAATACAGTCACCATGGTTTACATTAAAAAACCCTGTGAAACGCAATGAGACGTTTCAATGACATGATAAGCCGCTGAATCAAATGCAGGATTATTATATTCAAACGCTGACTTTGGGGCCGGTTACATGGACCTCAATGGTCTTTGCTTTATGTTTGTGTGTTTCTATGAGACACTAAGGGAGGGCTCCAAAGTGAACCTTTTTACCACTTTTGGCATACAGAGTCAGGGTCAGATAGTCCCAGTGAGGAGCCGATGTGGAGTAACGTTCTCTTTGCTTGAAAATCAGGTCTTAACCCCAATCTCAGAAAACACTGGTGTGATATTTCCAATTCCACCACCAGAAATCAGTAGGGGATTGTCTGAATGAGCTTTCCAAACTGTGGGCGGTTTTGTGCTGTACTGAACCCTTATTATGGTGAGCTGACGAAGCAATACAGGTTTTTCACTGCTAGCTGGGTGGTAAATGAGTCTCTCACCCCATCAATTTGGGATGGTTCAGTCTGAGATGCAACAACTGAGAGTTTTGTGAGATGTGGCACTTTAGTATTCAGTCCACTGATACGGACGGACATTGTGCCCTTCTGACAATTCATATGATTAAAGAGTGAAACAGTAATAATCCTCGCATTTGATACAGCGCCTTGTCATGTCGTTGAAACGACGCAAAGCGTTTCACGGAACATATGTGGTAAAGTGGAGTGACTGTGTATTTTGTGGGCGAAACGCAGCAGCCAATTGCGCACAGCAGTGTCCCACAAACAGTTGTGGATTGCGTGACCAATTTAATTTTGAGGGATTATTCCCCTCGGAAAGTAATCCGCCAATTGACTAACAACCGGGTTCCTACTTACCACAAGGCAAACAGAGGCTTGTGGAGCGAGGAGACTTGCCTAACGTTTTGCTCTGCCCGGTAATGAACCCGGGTCCCTTCGCTAAGCGCTACGCTACGGGACGGATACAGACATCTCTGCAGAGGGCTCTGCTTATCAGCCATAATGCAGTTGAAACTCCGAGATTGGAAGCTTCAAACAGACGAGCTTATTTTAAACTATCTTTTCTGCTGCACCCGGCAGCTTGTTGTCATTGAAACTCCAGCTACCGATTGAAAGCTACTGGGACCCAAATGCTTCATTACAGAAAGGCGTTGTTTCAGCCTGACCTTCAGTCTGGCTATTGATTTTTCCACACGCATATCTTAAGACCGAAAATACATTTAACCCAAATCTTAGATTTTCTGCTGAAGTGTATTTTGAATTACAAGCGGCTTTTTTTTTTAAACCCACACGCTCATAAATCAAAATTGGATCCTGGAATTGCACGAAGGCTGTTTGTTTTCATATGCATCGCATTAACCTTTAGACGCACGAGCCGCCTTTTTGTATCCAACAAGAGGAGGGCAGCAGCCGCGGTACTCGTCTGAGGCCCTCCAGCAAAGCGTCCTGAGGCACCTCATTCTGTGTACCAGGGCGAACAGCATTTGCCCTCTTGCAATTAAGGGTCATTTCCTGAGGGTGCAGAGTTTTCCTAGAAAAAGTACTTTAACCATCCACTTAGCCTTTGCAAACACCACAGCTGTGATCTGACCTTCCTGTCTAATTGGGGACAGCAGTTCTGGGGCTATTTGTAAATTGTTTTTCTAAGGTTTGGCTCAGTAAGTTTCACTGTTTCTCGTTCAACCCCCCTCCGATGTTTACGAGAGGAATTTCCTGTAAAACTCTGGTAACTCCAGTTTTCCTTCTCTCAGAGCACGCTTGAGTTTACTCTGCAAAAGAGATGAACTTTCAGTGGGGTTTTGTATACAGTTTGTACAAATGAGCTGCTCTTTCCCCTCTCTCATTAGCAATTCTGCTTAATAAAATCAAAGAAAGCTTACGGCACAAAGGAGGCCATTCAGCCCATTATTGAACTTGCTGGAGCTATCTACTCTCATCCAATTCCCCTATTCTTTGCCTTATTATGTCTGCTTGGGCTGGCTGCTTCCCTAGTACCCATTCTCATAGAGTTGCATAGAATTACATTTATAAAGATATACAAAGAATGTGCAGCACAGAAACAGGCCACTTGGCCCAGCCAGTCCTTGCCAGTGTTTATAACTCCATATGAGTCTCAACCCACTCCTCACTCCCTTCCCATGCCCGAATAATAATCCCTTCCAAAAAAAGAATTTGGTCACTCGACTGTTTGTGGGGACGCTGCTGTGCGCAATTGGCTGCCCCGTTTCTCCCACAAAATATACAGTCAATTCGCTTTGCAGTATATTGTGTAAAGTGCTTTGAGACATCTCAAAGACGTGATAAGGTGCTACATATCAAATGCAAGGATTATTATTCCCCGCTCCCTCATGTGAAGGTCTAGCTTCCTCTTAAATGCACCTATAAAAAGTTACAGCACAGAATTAGGTCATTCAGCTCAAATATACGCCTCACGAGCCACCACCTTTCCTCTACCCCTCTATTCCTTTCTACTCCTATCCCAAGCTTTTGTTATTTTTCTTCAAGTGTCTGTTCATTGCCTTTTCAAATGTTAATGCTCACCTCAAGGTCAGACGGTTGCGGGTTCAAGTCTTACGTTAGGACTTTGAGCTCAAAATCTAGGCTGCTACTGCTAGTATTTGGGAGCTACTGCATTGTCAGAGGCAATGTCAAAGCAAGATCCTGTCTGCCTGTACCAGGTGCACATTAAAAATTCCAAGCCACTACAACAAAAACAACTTACACTTATACAGCGCTCTTCACACGGGTTAGTATCTCAGAGACCTTAACAATGGCTTAGTTTGACGTCCAGCTGGGGAGCAAGGGGAGGTGACCATGAAAATTTGAAAGGCTATGGCAGGGGAGTGGGACTAAATTGGATAGCTCTTTCAAAGAGCCGGCACAGGCTCGATGAGCTGAAGAGCCTCCTTTTGTGTTGTTTGATTCTATGACCCTAGGCACGGTCGAAAAGGAAAGTCTTCACGTGTGATCTGAAGATGGACAAATAATAATAATAATCCTGGTATTTTTATAGAGCGCCTTACCATGTCGTTGAGACGTCTCAAACGCCGCACAGAATATATTGTAAAGTGGATTGACCGTGTACTTTGTGGACGAAACGCGGCAGCGTTAACAATACAAGGCAGGGAGTTCCAGGTGTTCAGGGCATAGTGGTTGAAAGCACAGCAACCGTTGGTGGAGCGGAGGGATATGCAACAACAATAACAAAATTACATTTAAAGAGCGCCTTTCACGTCAGGAGGACGTCCCAAGGTGCTGGACAGTCGGGTCAGGACCTGAGCAGGGGGTAGGGGGAGGGGTGAGGGAAGGCAGAGAGATGGGAGGGTGACTGAAGGCACGATCGAAGAGGAGGGTCTTGAGACCGGCCTTGAAAGAAGCAAGGGGGGAAGCGAGGCGAAGGGACCGTGGGATGGAGTTCCAGAGTGTGGGGGCAGAGAGGCTGAAAGCCCGGTCACCGATGGTAGGGTGGGTCGGGCGGGAGACATGGAGCAGCCGGAGGCCGATGAACGGAGGGAGTGGGGAGGTTGGTAGGGAGTCAGCAGGTCAGAGAGGTAGGAGGGGGTAAGGCCATCGATGGCCTTGAAAGTGAGGATGAGGATCTTGAACTCGATCTTCTGGGGGATGGGGAGCAACTGGAGTCGGGCGAGGGTGGGAGTGATGGGGTCGCGGAGCCTGGTGAGTGAGAGGACACGAGCTGCAGAGTTTTGGATGATCTGCAGCTTGTGAAGGGAAGAGTTGGGAAGGCCGATGAGGAGGGCGTTTCCGTAATCGAGCCTTGATGTGACGAGTGTGTGGGTGAGGGTTTCGAGTGCGTGGGTGAGGCAGTAGCGGACTCTGGCAATGTTGCGGAGGTGGTGGTAGGCAGTGCCGGTCATGGGGTGGATGTAGAGGAGAAAGGACAGTTCAGAGTCAAACAAGACATCCAGGTTCTTGCAGAAGGCCCGAGGGACGAGAATGGCAGAGAAGTGGGGGTGTGAGCAGATCGGAGAGGGAGGGAGGTGCATGAAGTGATTTGTAGGTGGATGTGAGAGTCTTGAAATTGAGAATGACTGTTCAAAAAGAGAAGGAAGTTTCTCCCAGTGCCCTGATCAATAATCTTCCATTCAATGATAAATTGATTGGATCTTCCAGTGCATGATAAATTGGTCATTCACTTTATAACTGTTTGAGGACATCGCTGGTACAAACACTCACCCATAATTACACAGTCACCACATTTGACTGCAATTATGTATGAAGTGCTTTGAGACGTTTTGACATTATAGGGCACGCATCAAATGCAAGGTTTATATAGATTGAGCTTCAACAGCTTTGTGAACAAGAATTTTATGCTCTTAATAATCCTCAGTGGAAAAAAAGTGTTATTTTTTCTTCTGATTGTTTGAAATGCTGAATCGTAATTGTCTCGAGAATTGGGGTCAAATGAACAGAAGTTGGTTTGAGTCAAGGATTTTTAGCAGAAAGGAAAAGCCCCTCTCTATCGGACGGGCAATTTTAGGGGGGAGGGGTGAGGGGGGTGGACAACCGGGCATCTGACACATGCAGAAACCCATCACCGTTGCTTAAGTGTAGCTCAGTGGTTAGAGCACTCGCTTTGCAAGTGAGAGACCTGGAGTTCAATTCCAGGCAGAGGGCGAAACCTTGGGCAAGTTTCCTTACTCCACACAGAGCCTAATAATAATCCCTCCAAAACCAAAAACAATAATTAAATTGGTCATTTTCAATCTACGACTGTTTGTGGGACATTGCTGTGCGCAATTGGCTGCGGCGTTCGCGCACAAATTCATTTTACAGTGTGTTCTGTGAAGCGCTTTGGGACGTCCTCCCGACGTGAAAAGCGCTATATCAAATGCGAGGATTATTATTATTATTATTAAGAGTCTCCAAACCAAACTGAGGATTCCATGCATCCCACCCACACATGGAAATCCCAGAGATAGATTGTTGGAATGGGACGCACTCTCCTGGGTGAGACCCATCCTGTTTACCTAATTTCGGAAAGTATTAGGTGCAGGTTGGCCAGAGGCAAGGCTTGGGGGGACGCCAGAGTGTGCGTTGGGATAACTGCTGGAGTCTTAACCAGTTAAAACGTGATGATCACATCGTGCAACCAGGCAGTTTAGGGGAATAAAACTGCCCTACCTGTAAAAAAAAATCTAGCAACCCTGGAAGGTCAAGAGTATGGAGTGAGCTGGCAGAGAATTTTGCGTACAATTACTGGAAATGGATTTGGCTTAATGGGAGGAAATGATTCAGAAAGATTTGGGTATTTTATTTGAAATCGATGATACTCACAAAGTGTTCCTTTTTTGTTCACTTCAAAGGCGGAAACGACGCAACTTCAGCAAACAGGCCACAGAAGTTCTGAATGAGTATTTCTACTCGCACCTGAGTAACCCCTACCCCAGTGAGGAAGCCAAAGAGGAACTGGCAAAGAAATGTGGTATCACAGTGTCACAGGTACAGCCTACTCTCCCAGCTTCAGCCTGGGCCTCGCCTGCAGTCCACATCCACAGATATCACTACACATTCCCCCCACCGCAGCTCGGAGAAACAAGCAAAGCAACCAATGTAGGAACAAACCTTAATCTGTAAAATTTGGTTTGTTATATTGCATAGTAGATGTGTTTGGTCTCTCCAGCAGGGTATTTTTTAAGAGAAGATCTTATGACATCTTGTACAATATTAAATTCATGCTAATTGTTGATGGCTTCTCATTTTCACGTTGTAGTAAGATGCAATCTTGTTTTTGCTGCAGCCCAACAACACAAAGAAAGTAGTCTTTTAACATCCCCAAATACCAAACTAGTGTGACTATAAGTGTAGTTAGTGTTGGCAGTTTGAGTCTAAATTAAGTGTAATCGTATGTGGATAAACAGTACAAACGCTGAAGTTAGATAGTTAGTTGCCTCCACTAGCAAGGTCCTAAAGAGTTTTAGTTCTTTGTCCTTCTCAGATTGACAGAACCCTTGTTCCTACTCTAGATGTAAATACTTTTATGATGGAGATGATCGGGGCTTACACTTACAGTCCAGGTAGAAGTGATGGTTTTGGAAATGGCTTATTAATTTTGCTAGCGCCGAGTTACAGAGAGAATGCTCTAGTCTGATCATGTACCACATGTTGTCACATACCTGCCAATTCTCAAGATTGTAGTGCTGGAGTTTGCTGTTGAACCCTATACACTACAGAGCTTTGAATTTCCTCTGCAAAGACTCTTGACTTCAAGAACCACAATACCAGCATATTAATAAGATTTAGCCATGTATCGTCAGGCTTATGCATCGATCTTACCAATATTATCATCACCGGTAAAGAAAAGATTTGATGCAAGAGTTTAGTCTTTGGGGTAAATGACTTGTTCTCTCCCTTCCCTTGGTCAATGCTTCGTCCACCCAGCACATCCAATTTGCTTTAAATCTTAAATGTTGGCAGGCGTAATTTGGGCTTTTTGCAGAACTGCACACTTTCGAGGCAGATTTTACATTGATTATAATATCCTCAATTACAAACCGGTGGCCAGTTCAACATTGAGGAGTAATAAAATGAAAGTCAAAATAAGGTTCCAAAAGCTCAAACCTGATGTGGCATTTTGTTCCGAATTAATACAAGACAGGCTGCTAATGAGCACATTTCTATTGCAAGCAAGTCAGCCCCAACTAGTTCTTATTGAGCAACTACACTGTATGGAGAATGGATTGATAACATATTCGCATTAAGAGGCAAGCACTGTATTTAATTTCACTGTAGTTGCAAGTTTCAGTCAGAAACACTTAAAATAGTTGAGCTAAACTCTCCTTTTAAAGTCTAGCAATGGCTCTTTCTCCATTACAATTGTGTTTTCAGTTTGTTTCATTTGATTTGAAGACTACTTAATAGAATTCTTACCTGCCAAAGAGCAGAATGAATCAGACAGCTATTTTGTGACCTTACTATTGCGGTTTGCAATACTCATGTAACACTATCATGCCACGTCACTGTATGTTATCAGGTAAAGGTAAACCAAATAAAATGCATGCCTTAATTCAGCTGAAAGTCTGGTTTCTGTGGTGACTGACTCCCTGGTTCACTGTGGTTGTTAACTTGCTGTGGATAGATAACTTGACTGAGGTGTTGCTGAGTTCATAATCCATTGAATTGCCCAATGTTTCCTGGAATATCTACTGCACACACTTGCAAGTGGATACACAAGAGTGAGAAAATAATTGCTTGTCACCTCCCCTGGCGTTAAATGGAGTCCTGTAGAGTATTGGTTAGAGCACTTACCTTGCAAACGCAAGGACCTGGGTTCGATCCCCAGGCAGGTGGGAAAACATTCGGCAAGTTTGCTTACTCTACACGTCTATTTTACCTAGCGGTAAGAAGAAGGAACCCGGTTGTCAGTCAATTGGCGGATTGATTTTCTGGGGGTAATAATCCCTTAAAAATTAAAAAATAAAATGATAATCCTTACATTTGATACAGCATCTTATTACGTCTTCAAGACGTCTCAAAGTGGGTCACAGAATGTACCGTAAAGTGAATTGACTGTACTTTGTGGGCGAAACTCCCACAATAATTTGGTGAATCAATCCAATTGTTTGTGGAATTCTGCTGCGCGCAATTGACTGCTGCGTTTTGCCCACAAACTTTTTGCCCTACTCTTTATTTTTGTTTCAACCGGGTGTCTGACACACACGGAAACCTATCACCTTGCTTAAGGGTATCCAAAGCAAACTGAGACATTTACTCCCTCTTATACCCTTCTGTTCCCCTCTCCCTCATGCGAAGATCTAGCTTCCTCTTGCATGTTTACATTTTGAAAGAGTTTAAAACTGGTGAGTGAAAAACACGAGTGATAATTGTTATTTGATTTCATTTCTGGTCAGCTCTCCTGTTAAACCACAGTGACCGAGTGACTATAAGTAGGTCTGGGGAAATTTTACCAGTAAAATTAGAAAGGTAATGCCCCATCAGGTCTGTATTTTGGAATTTTAATGTAAATAATGTGACTGTTTGTAGTATTAGATATCACAGTGCCTTTTATTATTAATCTCAGTGTGCTTTCTTGTGGGAGGCTTTGTCACTGGATCTTTCGATCTATTATTCATGGCAAGAAATCAGGAATACACACTGTTCTTTAGAGCAACCTGATCTATTGTACAAAAGGAGAAACTGACCGGCTTGTTTTAAAATGAGATGGATTTCTTACTCGTTGTTGTCCCAGTTTACGTCACGTTAATTCTCTTCATTTTCCTGCCCATTATTCACAACTGTATGTTGCTTCAGGCAGGAGACAAAAGCATATTTCTTCAACAACGACACATTACATTTCTGTAGCTCCTTTCACGTCGGGAGGACGTCCCAAGACGCTGGACAGTCAGGGATTTGGACCCGAGCTGGGGATAGGAATCAGGAGGGGCGGAGGGTAGGGAGGGGTAGGGGTAGGAGGGTGACCGAAGTTGCGGTCAAAGAGGAGAGTCTTGAGACATGCCTTGAAGGAGGCGAGGGAGGGAGCGAGGCAAACAAAGAAAAGGAGGTAATTGAGCCCAAGGCAGTATTATACACCTCCTAGTGACTGTACAGAGCAATATTACATCCTGAGAAGTCACTGGGAATGGTGAGCATGTAGTGAGTTAAAGGAAAGTATCTGTTAGCAAGAGGACCCAGCCTGGATTTGATTCCCAGGCAGGGCGAAACCTTGGGCAAGTTTCCTTACTCCGCACGCCTTTGTTAACCCAGCAGTAAGTAGGAACCTAGTTGGCAGATCACTTTCCAGGGGTGATAGTACCTCCTCAACAAGTGTGGTCACTCAATCCACGACTGTTTGTGGGGACGCTGCTGTGTGCAATTGCCTGTTGCGTTTCGTCCACAAAATACACAGTCAATCCACTTTACACCGTATCCTGTGAAGCACTTTGAGACGTCTCAATGACATGATAAGGCGCTATATCAAATGCGAGGCTTATTATTGTTAATCTTTTTAAGCCAAAGCGGGATGAAGGTAGATCAAGTGCAAGGCTTGTGTGCAATCATGTCAAAACATAGGTATTTGGCTTTGACGGCAGCTATTTTTCAATGAGTTTTAGTGAGTGCCAAGATATCAGTTGTATCTAGACTTGTAATGTATCCAGGTATCTATCTTTAATAATATCTGCAGCTGTAACCTTCAGGTTTTGTGTCTCGCTACATGTTTTGTTGGTTTCCCATCCGGTGGGAGAAGAGAATGTCTGTCTTGTGTGAAAGTGAAATATTAATATAACTGAATAGACTATTTGAGCGAAAATTAATTTTGCTTCATGTCCTACGTAGATTGTCGGGCTGTCATTTGTGCAGGTGTGTTGGGTAAAGCAGAGAGTTTACTTTTATGTAAACGTTCACTTTCTTTTCAGTGATGGAAAAGAGAATGAAAATGACATCAAACAGCTCGGAACCAGGCCATTTAGTGGAGCTCAGTGGTTAGAGCACTCGCCTTCGCAAGTGAGAGGACCTGGGTTCGATTCCCAGCAGAGCGAAACGCTGGGCACATTTTCTTACGCCACACACACACGCTTCTGTTTTTCCAGCAGTAAGTAGGGAACCCGGTTGTTTGTCGATTGGCAGATCGCTTTTCCGGTGCTAATAATTCCATCAAAATAAATAAAAATAATTGGTTGCTCAATCCACGACTGTTTGTGGGGACGCTGCTGTGTGCAATTGGCAGCTGCATTTCGCCCACAAATTATACAGTCAGTTCACATTACAGTCTATCCCGCGAAGCGCTTTGAGATGTCTCGAAGACGTGATAAGGCCCTGCATCAAATGCAAGGATTATTATTATTATTAATAGTCTGCGCTGGTGTTACGTAGAGAGATACGGCCTGGAAATGGGCATATTGACCCAACTCGCCTGTGCCGGTGTTTATACCCAAAGATAACAACAACAACTTGTATTTATATAGCGCTCTTCACGTGGGATAGCTTCCCGGAGTGCTCGACAGTGGTGGAGTCTGACACCGAACCAGGGGGAGAGGGAGGGAGGGGGGGAGGGAGGGAGGGAGCAAGGCGGAGGGATTGAGTTGCAGACAAGGTCACTGTCCCCTTTTCCAGACCCCCCCCCCCCAATCCTTCACCCCCTCCTCCACAATAATAATAATCCTTGCATTTGATATAACGCCTTCAAGACGTCTCAAAGCGCTTCACAGAATATACTGTAAAGCGAATTGACTGTGTATTTTGCGGGCGTAACTCGGCAGCCGATTGCACACAGTAGTGTCTCCCAAAAAGGCACGGATTGAATGACTTAATATTTCAAAAAGATTCCACAAAGTCCAGCCCCATCCACCCACCCCCCCCCCCCGCCCGCCCCATGCAGAGGCCTCCTGGACGTCTAACATCAGTCTCCCATCAAAATGTTTTGTAAAACGTCTCTTGCCGTAACACGAGCTCCGTAAGAAACCTTTCACCATGTGAGGGTGATTAGTGATGGTTACGGAAATCTC